TCAATACGGAATCGTCTAAACATGAGTTATGCTAACACTGACCCGTTTTTATGCTTCATGGTACCGTGTTTGTTAGAATTGATAATAACCCAATTCAAACCAAAGCTTTAAGTGATGTAAACTTTAAAAACTCTTTCTATAGTTACTTGCATTAACTCGTGCTTCGTACATACCACTTATAAAGTAAGTAACTATACACCTTGATACTTTTAATTTTTTTACAAAAGCAGTACTTTATTAAAGATCAAAGTTGCTAATAATCTCAACATAAATATGGTATAATGTGCATCATATCATTTGCAAAATAGAGCCACGTTAAATACCGACGACTTGGGTATTCCGTTTATGCCTGTTACCGTTGCAATAAATGAGTTTATAGATTGGCCCACTTTCCGCATTTTACCGTCGAAGCTAGATTGACTTCTGCATTTTATTTCTTACCAGGTGCATTTAGATTTCCATTTCCCATTGTAATTAAATAGTAGAAGTTTGCCGAAGTAGCTCGCAGCTGTCTTGGACTTGCTCTACGATATTTTTCCTTGTCTCGCTCAAGTTAAATCAGGGCTTAAGTTTTAAGATGCGAACTTTTAAATTGTGTTCAGTCTTCATTGTTCTTGAAGTAGTAGCCACGTTATGCCCATCTCGGCATAATCTGTGGCAATTTGCTTACTTATTTAATATCATTCTCTTGTAAAACTTAACCCCTTTGTATTTTGCTATTAAGACTAATTTTTAAGTAAGCGATGCTGACTGCTGAGAGCTCGTGGGGAATAAAATAAATAAACAGTCATTTGTTTCTGGTAGTTACTGATCTATATTCTATATGTATTTGGTATTCTCAAATATGTTTATCAGCAGTTGGGTTAATATAGAACAGCTGTCATATATTTGCGGGCGTTTGTGTGTGTGTGTGTAGGTAAAACATAAATTACCATTCAATGGCTTATCCAAAGCCTTTAGATCCTTTAAATAGTACATCAAAAGTATGTATAATCACATTTCGTTAGATATAAGGCTAATATTACCAAAACCTTTTTGTTTTATTTTTATTTTTTATTAATAGGTCCTATCGTTAAATATTTTGCTAATTAAGGCAAGCCTATGAGTCACACTATTTTGATAAAAGGACATAGGAGGCGACCTTTTTTATTTAAATACAGTCTTAATTTCATAGTGCAAAATAGTCAGAATACGACATCATACAAGTATAGTTACGTCATTAAAAATGTGAAAGTGTTCCAAGGTTCAAATTGTTTAACTAATCTTAGATCAAGCGATAATAGCAAAATTGTATTTTTTTATTTAGAATGGTTTTTGCTTTTAAAGTAATGTTTAGACAGGTTTTGTATAGGATATAGCTATAGTATAGTGAAACGCCTGTATAGTGATTCGAATTAAAAACAAAAATAGTTCAGATATGCACTTACTGGCAGATCTTATCTGCAGACCATTGCGCTTCGTTGTGGGACTAAATCTTTTGGACTCGTAAAAAACGAATAAATAAAATTTAAATTGTACTAGTAACTACTGAAGACTTAGAGTATTTGCCTACTAGATTTAAAAATGCAATCAGCTACAAGACTCAAAAATTATAGTCTTGGCATACAAACTGCGTTTACGTACATACAAAGTTAAGCAGACACCTAAGGAAAATAAAATATAAATCGAATGTAGTTATTAGGACGATAATCAAATTTGTTGTAAAGAATTGGGAATATGAAGGATTGCAAGAGAATTGTTTTCGTATACGCTTTTTTATTTATTTACTTACTTACGTTCTGCTTACTTTACTTTTTACTAATAGTAAACTTTTACCGTTAACTTTTATTTAAAAACGTCATGTACGTTTAAAGGGAGCAGTGGCATTTATAAGTTCTCGGTCTCGGTCGGTCTTCTAATTTCTATATAAATCAGAGATCAAATTGATATGTATCATATTCAAATCCTTCACTTAAAAACTTATAAATCTAAACAAATTATAAATATAAATCAAAACTTTAGAACTAATACCAAATGGTTAAGGTATTTAGGCCTGGCGCCGACTATTGGCATGGCATGGCAGGTCAAGACTGTCAAGGTACACCTCAGCATATCTCGGAAGTCTTCGGTAGTCAAGACAAACCTAAGGACGCCGAATCAACACTCGGCTAGTTATTATCGATATTATGAATACAACTGTTCGCTTGCAAACTTGCAACTATTCTAAATAAGGCTAGCTACCAGGCTGTTGCGGTGGCCTTCCTAAGTAGACCTTGGCATGCCTGAGAACTCCTCGGCATTCCTAAACATACCTCGGCATGCCTGAGAACTCCTCGGTATTCTAAGACTTTCCAAGACAATAATTGCCGCCAGTATGCGTCTGCGCGTAGGTATTCCATGGGATCCCTTGCCATACCGTGCCGATAGTGGGTGCTGGGCCTTAGAGTTAGAAGTGTTTAGAAGAAAATATTATCATTTAGACATTCACTTGGAATTAAATGATCTATATCAAAACAGATTCATAACAGATTAAAATAAAACATAAACACATTATATATATATATATATATATATATGTCCTAATGATACTTGTACTCAGTGACAATACTTAAGTAGCGCTTTTTTTTTCTACTGGTGAATAGGTTCGCATAAGCTAACTGAGAGGGGACGCCTACCAATTGTCTACCTTAATGCAATGTTTGAGTAACACAACTCTAATTGTCTATACAGCTTTATATTGTCTTTGACTTACGGATAATAATTATCGTGCAGATTTTTGTTTGTTTTGCCATTTAGTAGTTTTTTGTTTTACATATTTAAAAATGTTGTCAAGACTGTAAAAGTAAATTACAACATATTAGTATAGATTTTAGTATTACGATAAGTAAATAAAAATGCAGTAAAATTATTAAAAATCACTGAGCTGTTGGCTTAGTGTCAGAGGTCAGAGGTCGTGGGTTTGGTTCTGACAAATGAATGTGTGATCACCATTATTTGTTCTAGTTCTGGTTGTAATTTATCATGCAATTTATCATGTATGCATTTAAAATTATATAAGTATGTTTTTCATCAGTCTTCTTACCATAGTACAGGCTCTGCCTAGTTGGGAATCAAACGGCCCTGTGTGAGATGCGATCAATGCGTGTACATTATGATGAATTTCAATAAACTCTTATTGATTCCCTAATTTGGCACTCTTTTTTTTTAAATTGCTCTAAATGAAGCCATACCATAAAAAGAGTATCCCAAATCCAAACAAAAACAATACTACTAAAACCTCCTTCTTTTTTTAAGTCGGTTAAAAAACAAAAGGTAACTAACGATTGAGTAACATTTTGATTTAATCATAAATTTTGTACTAGCAGTCTCGTGATTTGAGACAATGTGTATGCCGTTGTTAATTTACAAATCGAATTTCAATATTGAAGTCGACAATGAAACAACATCGAAATTATTTCCTATAACATGCAATTGCATCATCCATTCTTTTGTATCGGACATAAAATAATACAATTATTCAATCAATATTACACACCATAACAAATTGACAACTTAAATAAAAGCTGCAAAATTACTTATTGAGATTTTTGATCGAGATTTCACTTGAACTTATCTTGGTTTTGTACTTCTTGTACATATGTAGTGTAATATCTACATGCTAGTATCTAAAGTGTATACATTTGTTAGTCAATAATAATACAATGTTGATTTTGATTCTGTAAAAGCTTATTCGTACGGTAAATCGGGTTATTTTGTTTGATTTGTCGTGTCGCTTTTCCAGTCAATTTTATCCAACAATTCTAAATTGTAATATCAGTGACGATAATAATTGTATTCAGTATTGAACTGTCGGCATTTGAAGTAATAATGAAGTTGGTAAGTAAAATGAAAGGAAGGCGTGTCCAGGGCCGGACCGGTTTTGTAGCGAAATATCCTTGTGTAAGTATTAAGGTGATCTAGTTGCCCGAGTCTTGATGTAGTTAATGCAAATACGGTAGAATGCGGACGTAGCCCACACCTGCCAGTTTTAAGGTTTAAGGAAGTTGGCTCGGACATAAATTTATTAACGTCTCTTATTTATAAACGTTTGATCTTAAGCTTTTCTTTACTAATTTAATATTATTTCCCCTCATTGCTTAAAAAGTCGTTAAGTACATATATATATATCTAAATATATATGTATATATCTCTCGTTGTAGATCTTTTTTAGATCTACGCCCATTTTTTATGTGTTTGTATTCTTCTCACATACATGCTTTTGAATATTTATAACGTACTATCTCATAACAAATCATATGAATATTCTTCACATACTTACTTACTTTCTTTACTACGAAGAAATTTCAAGTCTCACTCTGTACATGTATTTAGAAAGCAAATAAACGAATAAACTAATTACTTTGTGAGATTTTTGACTGAGCTGTCACTCGTATTACCCAAACAGCAATACATTGGTTTTGTACTTCTTGTACATATGTAATGTAATATCTACATCACAGTACCTAAGATGTAAACATTTACTAGTCAATGTATCTGCCTGAGTCCAAACTTGAAATTAATAAAAATAATCACGGTATGTTCACCGTGAGTATATTGTGCGTTTATATGATGAGTGCTTGCTGCTACAGTGTACAAAGTAAGATAATTATAATATTAAATTACCAATTAAATAGCTTTAGATGTACAGCTATATTCATAACACTTCTTTAATAATATTTGGGTTAATAACAAAACAGTTTTTTCAAGTAAAATCTAAATTTATTTACAAGGTTTTGTTTTTGTCAACTGACGCGCTTTCGGCTCACACCACTTCCTTAGTAACAAAAACGAACAACATACATATACCTGTCCATTAACTCACAATATCACAGCAAATAACAATTAAAAATGTTTTTGTAGCAGCTCCGAACGCGTATATGTGCGTGGGCCACCCCCTGGTGACTCAGCGATTTTATAATTGATGCGTGCTTTTTACGTGTTTCGGCTCTTATAAATCGCCTTAGCCCTCTTTTAAATTAGATTTATACTTTGTGGAAGGAGTAAGTGTAACCATCGGGTGCTCTATTCAAACTGAACTTGCCAGGAGGGAAGAAATGTGTGGGCTGTGGTGTTGTCTGTTCGAGGTACTGTTGACGAGCGGCCGGTTGTGAGTACTGTGTTTGCGAAGAAGGCAGGCCACTGTACTGTGCCTGTTGTGTTCCAGGGTAGATGTTGTTGGACTGGTACTGGGGTTCAGGCTGGTACTGAGGCTGTGGCTGAGGTTGATATTGAGGTTGAGCCTGATACTGTTGTTGTTGTTGTTGGGGAGCCACATAGTTCTCGCGCTCGTACAGCTCAGGGTGGTATTGTCCGTCTTCAGGGTCTTTGCCTCCGTAGCTATATTGTTGTTGTGTTGTACGGGCAGGAGCGTTGTACTGTTGGGGAGCACTGTATTGCTGCGATTTGTAGTTAGGCGAGTTGTATCGGGGATCGGGAGTGTATCCAGGAGTGGGCGCAACCTGCTGCGGTGCTGTAGGAATGTGGTCACCGATAGCTTGGAACCCGTTCTTTCCAGCAATGTAGTTCACAGTTTTCCTTTGGCCACTGGGGTCAATATAAGAATAGCTGCCTTTTCTATTTCCATCAGCGTCAGTCTCTTCTTTGAAGTTGATTCCATCTTCTTGTTGGTAAGCCGCACCGAAAGCTCCATTTCCGCTGAGGTAGCGTGCCTCCTGAACGATGGCTGCTGTTCTCGGATCTCCCGCGTATTTAGGGACACGTCTTCCTCCCTCTTGCTGCTGACACATCGCGGTTGCGATCACAAAGGAAAATATAATGAGCCTGTTCATTTTGACCGTCCAAAATGTGCACTGCTCGCGTGAAAGTAACAAAGTGCGTCGTTGCGCGCGGGTGAACTTATTATATACAGCCAGAGGAGGCCTTGGCGGGTATTGGAAGGGCCCGCGGGTGCGACCGCGAAATTCTTATTGTACAAATTCCCACTCGTGATGGATGTATGACACGCATCTGGGAAGTGACATTAAGATGAAGAAAACAGGTGTCGTCAATCCAAACGAGATCATTGGCCCTGTGTAAATGTCAACAAGCATCCGATAAATTTTCATCTAACCAGTTAAATATTTAAATAGTCCATGAAAGGTTTAATTTTTAATAATAATATAATCAAATTTATTTTAAGGAAACAAATTTGATCATTACGTGAATTTGTAGAATAAATAAAAGTGTTAGTCTTTAAACACGGAAATTTATTTTTTATTTTATGTTAACGATGATTTCAATTGCAGTACCGATATTTTACAATGTTTAAACTGACATGAATATTGTTGTAAGCTATTTAACAAGCGGAAAACTTAATAAAATGTATATCCGTAACAAGCCGTGGTATTCGATGGACTTAAGATCAGGAAGTTGCGGGTTCGAACCGCACTCGGTACAAGTTAATATAAAAGCACTAGTTTACGCTAAAAGAAAGTCTTTTGTAAGTGTGAAAAATATGTAAGCTATTTATTATTTTATATTATATTTTAGCCTTATATCCACAAGCTTTCAGTGTTTCATTGCACAAAATATTTGTAAACAATATGTACCAAGAATTTACATCACATTTAAACAAAATTTTTATATTCCATTTGAAATTAAGTCACCGCGAAATCTTATTCAATAAATGAGTTAATAAACATACATAAATATACTCACGCTTTTTAAAGGGGTGGACAGAGGTGCATTTGAAACGCCCACATTTTGTTGACTATAATTTTTAATGAAATTACGTTGTAGGGTCCGTCGTCCGGAAATTACGTTGTAGGGTCCTGAGGTGGAACTTGGGAAGATTAGGTGGCATATCCTAGGGCTATGTGAAGTCCGAAGAGAGGGGGAGGACACCATAACCCTCGAGTCAGGCCACCTAATGTACTTCCGCGAGGGAGACCAACAATCCCAAGGTGGGGTTGGGTTTCTGGTAAATAAGTCCCTATCTGACAACGTTGTGGAAATTTCCAGTGTGTCGAACAGGGTAGCGTACCTCATTATCAAGCTCACCGAGAGGTATAGCCTCAAGGTTGTGCAAGTGTACGCACCGACCTCGGCACATTCGGACGACGAGGTGGAGGATATGTACGATGACATATCGAGGGCCCTCCACTTCACAACTAAGACCCACTACAACGTTGTTATGGGTGACTTCAACGCTAAAGTGGGAGTACAGAATTGCGGCGAATCGGTAGTAGGATCCCATGGATTTGGAAGCAGGAATCATAGGGGGCAAATGCTGGTCAACTTCCTCGAACGGGAGGGGCTGTTTTTGATGAATTCTTTCTTCAAGAAACAGCCCCAAAGGAAGTGGACGTGGCAAAGCCCCGACGCTATGACCAGAAATGAGATCGATTTCATCATGACGGATAGGAAGCACATATTCAGAGACGTCTCAGTGATCAATAGGTTTAATACCGGTAGTTATCACCGACTTGTCCGGGGCTCTCTGAATATCAACTTTAAGGCGGAACGTGTCTGTTTGATGAAATCCAGGCTCCGACCAACTCGGCTCCAAGCCATGACAGGATCTGAAACGTTCCAGTCAAAACTGGAAAACCGATTCGCTGCCGTGGAAACCACAATCGACGTAAACCAGAACCTCAAAAATGTGGTTCAGATCCTCAGGGAAGAAGGTATGAGATTTTGTGAAATGCAGCGTAAGGGCAGGAAGTCGAAGCTTTCAGAAAGGACCCTAGGGCTGATGAAGAAACGACGTGAAAACCCACCTGTCACTTTGTCGGCAAAGCGGACTCTAAACCGAGAGATCAGTAAACTCGTACGACACGACCTCCGGTGCTCCAATACTCTTTCAATTGAAAGAGCGATCGAGCAAAATCGGGGGTCAAAAGTGTTCGTACAATCTCTTGGAAGAAGCCACCTGACAAAGTTGACTACAGAAAGTGGAGAAGTCGTTGCTTCGAAGCCGGCAGTCCTTTTGGAAGTGGAAAGCTTCTATGGCCGGTTATACGCTTCGCATGCATCTCGACCTGATCCCGAAAATGAGGACTATAGAGCCACATTAACACGTCACTACACCGAAGACCTGCCAGAAGTTAGCATTGACGAAATCGAGATGGCTCTTGGACAGCTGAAAAATGGAGAGGATGGCGTTACAACAGAGCTGCTGAAGGCCGGGGGTAAACCCGTACTAAGGGAGCTCCAAAAGCTCTTCAACGCTGTCCTGTTTGAAGGGAGAACTCCAGAAGCGTGGAGTAGGAGTGTGGTCGTCTTGTTCTTCAAAAAGGGTGACAAGACCAGGTTGAAGAACTATCGACCCATATCCCTTCTAAGCCACGTCTACAAGCTGTTTTCGAGAGTCATCACGAACCGTCTTGCGCGAAGACTCGACGAATTCCAACCACCGGAGCAAGCTGGGTTTCGGAGCGGATATGGCACCATAGACCACATCCACACAGTGCGGCAGATTATACAGAAGACCGAAGAATATAATCAGCCCCTGTGTCTAGCATTCGTGGACTATGAGAAAGCCTTTGACTCGATCGAGATCTGGTCTGTTCTGGAGTCCCTGCAGCGTTGCCAAGTAGATTGGCGATACATCAAAGTGATGAGATGTCTCTACGAAGCCGCCACCATGTCCGTCCAAGTACAGAATCAGCAAACAAGGCCCGTACCATTGCATCGAGGAGTGAGACAAGGGGACGTTATTTCCCCGAAATTGTTCACAAATGCAATGGAGGACATGTTCAAGACGCTGCACTGGAAAGGGCGTGGCATCAATATCAATGGCGAATACATCTCTCACTTGCGATTTGCAGATGACATCGTCATCATGGCAGAGACGTTGCAGGACCTACAGCAAATGCTGAATGACTTAGCTGACACTTCTGTACGCATCGGCCTACGGATGAACTTGGATAAAACCAAGGTCATGTTCAACGAACATGTACTACCGGAACCGATTGCGGTACACGGTGCCGTTCTCGAAGTTGTTCAAAATTATGTGTACCTCGGGCAGACATTGCAGTTAGGTAGAAACAACTTCGAGGACGAGGTGAACAGAAGAATTCGGTTGGGTTGGGCAGCGTTTGGGAAGCTACGTCGAGTCTTCTCATCGTCGATCCCACAGTGCCTTAAGACGAAAGTCTTTAATGAGTGCGTCCTACCCGTCATGACATACGGAGCTGAAACGTGGACACTTACGGTACGGCTGGTCCACAAGTTCAAAGTCGCTCAACGTGCTATGGAAAGGGCTATGCTCGGCGTTTCTCTAAGGGATCGCATCAGAAATGAGGTGATCCGGCAGAGAACTAAGGTCACCGACATAGCGTACCGGATCAGCAAGTTGAAGTGGCAGTGGGCTGGCCATATTAGCCGCAGAACCGATAACCGTTGGGGAAAACGAGTTCTTGAGTGGAGACCGTGTCTCGGCAAACGTAGTGTAGGACGCCCACAGGCCAGGTGGAGTGACGATTTGCGCAAGATGGCTGGCAGGAGCTGGATGCGAGAAGCCCAAAATCGATCTAAGTGGCGTGCAATGGGAGAGGCCTATGTCCAGCAGTGGACTGCGATAGGCTGATGATGTCCGTCGTCCGTGTGGTGAGGGATTAAGAATACGAAGTGTCACCAGCCTTATTCATAGGATGGGTGTCCTAAGAGTCGAATAAGGGGGCAAACTACGCAGCACATCAGCACTGCAAAGAGAAGGAAAACTTCAAACAAACCCGTCCGGCCAACGTGGTGTAGTAGGCCAAAACTTCCTTTGCAAGAGGCCTATGTCCAGCAGTGGACTATTACAGGCTGTTGATGTGATGTGACGTAGTAGGGGCAAGCCTACTAACATCTATCTACCAGGCATATTTATTTCAAAGATATGATTATTTTTTACTAATTACATTAATAGTATAGATAAATTACACCCAAAAACAGGACAAATTATCGTGGTCATTACATAGTATTAATTTGTCTTTGGGTGAGACTTGACCTCCACGCCCTCTGTAGCAGTAAGTCACTAACCATTAGATCAACAGGCCCATCTGAGTATGAGTTCATAATTTTTTATGTTAGCTTAGAAATAACATTTAGCTGACTTTGACACTACAGACACTATACAATGTTTATAACCATTTTAATTTCTTCTATATAGGCGCTTCTACTTATCTTAGCATTGACAATCATATGATTAGGTATGAAGAGTGTTCAACTCGTGGCCTACAAAAACAAACATTATTGACCAGCTGCAATTAAACTTTAGTCCGTGTGGTGGCGTGATTAAGAATACGGAGTGTTACTACCTCTATTCATCCCGTGGGTGTCGTAAGAGCCTACTAAGGTTGCACATTACGCAGGACAACAGTACTGCAAAGATACCAAACGAGGATTTGGCTTCCGTCAGGCCAGCGTAGTATAGCTGGCCAAATCCTCGTTTTTAAGGAGAAGCCTATGTCCAGCAGTAGACTGTTGATTACGATCATGAAGAATTAATCTTTATCAATTTGTATTACAGTGTTGGTTTTAATGCAATGGATTAATACGAGTATTTGCACATTAACTGTGTGAAAAGCATATTTGCATACATACATTACATGTTTACTTTTAATAAAATGTTACAGACTTTTTGTTGACTGTTTTGTGTGTTAAAGAGAAAAACCATATTAAATGATCATTCAACTTATAGTTGTATTAATATTTTATTGACAACTCTAAAATCATATACATATTTTAAAGAAAAAAATTAGATACTTTTAGAAACATATACAGATGTATATCTGTATACGTAACTAAAAGTGTATTGTACATCTAAAATAAATAGGTATATGCATACCTATTTATTTTAAGG